TGTCTAGTAACCAAAACAACATGATGTTGCCATTTGTGTCCAAGGCCCTGGATTTGAACCCCAGCATCACAAAAAATATGACTTTTTAGTGTATAATACATTCCATCATTTATTTTCAACAGTTTTACTGAGATATAATTCACATTCCACTTAAAATATACAATTTTTTGAAAATTCAGAGTTGTACAATAATAACCACTAATTTTCATTATGCCCCCCCTCAAATTCTGTATTTATTAGCAGTCACTTCTTCATTTTCTCCTAATAACTCACAGCCCTAGGTAACCATTAATTTACTTTCTGTAGATTTGCCTATTCTGAATAACTCATGAATTGAATCATACAATATGTGATCTTCTGTGACTGGCTCCTTTCCCTTAGCATATTGATTTAAAGTTCACCTTTGTGATAGAATGTATTAAAACTTCATTCCTTTTCACAGTTTAATAGTATTCCATCATGTGCATATACTATATTCATCACTTGATAGGCGTTTAGGTTGTTTCCACTTTGGAGCTATTAAGAATAATGTGCATGAATATTCATATACAAGAATTTGTTTTAATACCTTTTTCAATTTTTTTTTCTGGTACTGGGGATTAAACCCAGGGGCACTTTACCACTGAGCATCCCCAGCTCTTTTTATTTCCTGAATCAGGGTCTCACTAAGGTGCTTAGGCTGGCCTTGAATTTGTGATCCTCCTGCCTCAGCCTCTCAAGATGCTAGGATTACAGGCATGTGCCAGCACATCTTGCCCTCTTTCTTTGGGTGTACACCTAGGAGTGGAATTGATGGTCATATGGCAATTCTATGCTTAACTTATTCAGGAATCTCTAAACTGTTTTCCATAACAACTGCACCATTTTACATTCCTACCATGTTTCCAGTTTCTCCTCATCCTCACCAATTTGTTATTCTCCTTAATTATTACTATTATTATTAAAGCCATCCTAATGGGTGTAAGGTGGTATCTTATTATGGCTTTGATTTATATATGCTAATAGATAATGATGCCAAATATCTTTTCATGTTTATTCACTATGTATGCATCTTCTGTGAAGAACTGTCTATCCAGATACTTGGACCATTTTTAATTGGGGTAGTTGTCTTTATTGTTGACCTGTAATAATTCTCTATATTTTGGAGACTAGATCCTTATCAAATAAGTGATTTGAAAGCATTTCCTCCTCTTCTATTGATCTTTTCACTTCTGTGCTGGTGTTGTTGAAGCACAAAAGTTGTTTGGCTTTTTAAAATTTTTGATGAAGCTCAATTTATCTGTTGTTTCCTTTAGTTGCTTATGCTTTTGGTGAAACCATTGCCAACTTTAAGGCCATGAAGACTTATACATATGTTTCCTACTGCAAATTTTATAGTTTGAGCTCCTACTTTGGATTTTTTTTTTAATTGGCACAAGGTAAGGGAGAAAATTCCTTTGCATGTGGATATCCAGTTATTCCAACATTTGTTGAAAAGATTATTTCCCCCACTGAATGGTATTTGTACCCTTGTTGAAAATCAATTGGCCACAGATGTCTGGGTTTATTTCTGGATGGTTTTATTTCATACACCTACATTTGTCCTTATACCAGTAGCAAACTATCTTGATTACTGTAGCTTTGTAGACATCAAGACATGTGGACCCTTCAACAATCTTTTTCAAGATTGGTCTGCTATCCTGGTCATCTTTTCAATTTCTACAAAGAATCCAGCTGTCATTTCCCCCACATAAGTTTTTCACTTTTTACTAAGTTTATTCCTAAACAGTTTTTTATGTTAAACATAAATGTTATTAATTTTCAGATTGTTCACTGCTGGTGTTTGGAAATAACATTATTTTTTAAAAATTTTGCAATGCTGGGGATCAAACCCAAGGCTTCATGTGTGCCACGAGCTAATTTTTGTATATTCATCTTCATATTACAACCTTGCTGAACTCATTTGTCCTAACACTTTTATTTTCTAATTCCTTAGGTTTTTTTTTTTTTTTGGGGGGGGGTTGTGATAGAACTCGGGGGTGCTTAACCACTAAACCACATCCAAGGGTTTTTGTGTGTGCATGTGTTGTTTTTTGAGACAGGGTCTTGCTAAGTTGTTGAGGCTCTTTGAACTCTCCATCCTCCTGCCTCAGCTTCCTGAGCTGCTGGGATTACACTTGTGCACCACAGCACCTTGCAGGATTTTCTATATAAAAACATCATATCATCTGAAATACACTTCTTTCGTTTCCTGTTTTCCTACTTTAATACCTTAGCTCAAATTTCTAACACAGTAATGAATGAAAGTGGCAAAAATTGGTGTTCTTGTCTTATTCCTTGACAGGGGAAAGCCTGTAGCCTTTCATCTAGATTGTTAGCTGTGAGGTTTCCCAAGTGCCCTTTGTTTGGTTGAGCAATTCCCTTCTCCTAGTTTTCTGGTTTTTTGTTTGTTTGTTTGTTTTTTAAATAACTAAAGATCATTGGATTTTATCAAATTAATTTATGTGCCTATTAAGATAATCATGCTTGGGGGCTGGGGCTATAGCTCAGTGGTAGAGCACTTGCACATGGGGTTTGATCCTCAGCACCAAATTTAAAAAAAAAAAAGTTATTAAAAAAAGATAATCATGCTTGTCTTTCCATCAATATGGTGTCCAGTTTTTTTGTTTTAAAAAGCTGAAACCCTAGAAGGATGCCCAATATATAAAACAGGGTGGGGGGACTGCTATGGTGCAGGCAGGGAGGACTGGGGCTGCCAAGCTGGCTCACTGTCCTTTCCCTCCCAGGTAGCCTTGAGCTCCACAGAAAACTAAGCAGGGAGCCAAGAACAGCAAAGCAGCCCCCATGGCTCTTATCCAGAAGTCCTTGTTGGGCCTGGCTCTGTCAGCCAACTAAGCCCGGACCCTCAGCCTCAGGGAGCCCTGGTTGGCAGGGCTGACCGATTACAAGTACCCAGCCACTTTATCAAACAGCAGCCTGTTAGCATCCTGCAAATTGCATATTTATCCAGGCACGGAGCTCCAGAGCCAACTCCCCCTTACTCCCCTGGCTAAAAGGTTAATCTAGGGGTCTTGGAGTCCTTCACACTTGGCATTTGGGATATCATCCCACTAAATGTTAATAATAGTTCAGATCAATGGTTACAAACAATAGTGTTGGTACTTTCTAAAATACCAATTCTCACCAACCAAAACCACAGAGGCCCAATAGCTCAAACAGATTACAGACAGCCCACTGATTACTTTTTGGGAAGACTGATTAAGAAACTTTATTACAGAAAATGAATGCATCCAACGTCCCCAAGTACATTTGTGACAAGAACAGACACAAGGGAGACACAGACAATAGTTGCTACATTACAGCCTTGTTCTTTCCAAAAGATAAAACATTACTCAAGAACAGGGTAAGGGGGTTGGAAGAGTGTGTTTGAGAAAAAAGTACTGTCCTTTTGACTTAATAACAGGTTGGCATTTCAAGAGGATTGGTCCAGAAATCAAGCTAAGCCTAACCTTTTGTGGTAACATCATGCCACTTAAAGCATCTCAGAGAAGCTAGAGAACAACATTCCACTGGGGCATCTAGTGGCAGTGTGAAAACCTTAAGAGTAGTGGTCTTATAACAAGCAACTGGAGTCTCTCTATAACCAAGTCTGCTTAATCAAACATCATTTAGCTAAAACCTACCCCCCACTTCTATCTGGCTACTGAGGGAGCATAAAATCCACCCCCTCCCATAGTTAGAAAACTACTTCCTTGGGATTACAGGTTGAGCATCTCTTCCATATCTGATGAGGTTGGCCTGTACATTGTGCAGTAGTAGCAGTTTCAGTTTAGAATGCCAAGTGACAAGGGCATGGCTAAAGCAGGATGAACAATCCTGGAACAAGTGCCTCTGGGCAAACCTAATGACCAAGGGTTTTTAAATTAGTGGAAGAATTAAAAAAACATATTTAGGACAAACAGTTCTGATGGAGAGGGAATGGTTATGAATGAAGATCAGCTGTGACCATGACTTGCACTCATCTAGGACCTGACACAGTAGAGAAGACAGCTCCTTAGACAAGCAAGGTTCCGAAGAGTGAACTTTTAAGAAAAAGCTGCTTTCTTGTAAAATACCATACACACAAAAAAAAGAAAAAAAGAAAAAAATTTCTATATCCAAGTGTTAATGCTAGGCAATGCTGACACTTACCCACAACAGTATTATCATTTGTTACTTCAATGAAGTACAGATAATCCATCCACTGATATTTAGTATCACCATTTGCCACTGTAGCAACCACCCCCATCCTATCCTGGGCAAAATGTTAACACCATTTACTAATACAACCACTGAAACACAAACCAAGCTTCTTTCAGTTTAAGAACATTGAACAACAATCTACATTTCTGGTGAATAAGCTCAAATCACAGGTAGGCCACTCTCTATTTCATGATACACTTACTGCTTAGAAATGTTGATCCTATCGGCCTGCTGAAGTGACCCAAGATGGAACTTAAGAAACTTTCTTGGAATGTCTGATTTTTTGAATGAGGAAAACAGGGCCAAAATACGGATAATGTCCCCTACCCCACCCCATCCCCCCTCACTGGGGTCTAGGAGACAAGCAGCAATTTAAGGCCTCCTCAAATGTTGAGCACAAGAAATAACTATGCATCCCATTACATGTGCAGGAGTCAGAGAGGAGTGAGAATAAATAAGGTATGAAGTTTTACACCCTATATACTCTGGAAGACATTCTTACTGTTTAGCAATGCATTTGACACCAAAAGGGGATGTAGAAGCCGAAGGTAAGAAGTAAAATCTGGAGTTAGCTGGCCCCCATTCCGCCTGCCTGCCTTCCTGAACACTACTGAAGGATGCTGGCCCTTGCCTGTCACTACATTCACTGGTCTACACTTCATCTTAATGCCATTCAGATACAACAAATCATGCAGTAACTTCAAGTAGCCCCCTCCTTCATCTCAGTCCTAAGCTGACCATGTGAGTAAAATAGAAGTTACCAGATTTATAGGGAGGAACAGTCTTAAAAATGTAATACTGTTTATTTAACTTCAAAAACATTTCAGCATTCTAAACATACAAAAAATAACATAACGTCGCAAATTGCATTTAAGTACAGAAGGTTCTTGAACTTTCATTGATGCAGTAGCTCTTTGCTTTGCTGACAATGAAGAGTTCTACAGTTTGTTTGAAAACAAAGTTTAAAATCTACCGTACTTAACTAAAAAAAAATTCAAACACTTCTCATGCCAGCTGACCCCCCTTTTTCCACAACTAAGAAAGGCAGCAGAATGCTATATCACTATATACAAAAACAAGACAACCTGAAGCTAAATGGATGCCCACCGCAGTGTCAACAGGTCCAGCCTCACAGTGCACGCCCTGAGCTACGGCCCCTCCAAAAGGCATCTTCCCCCCACAGCCTCAACGCCAAGCAAGGAGCATCAAGAGTTTGTCTCGGTTGTTTTGTTCTTTTTACAGACTATAGATATGTACAGTTGATAACTGAGGATTTCTAGCCAATAACCATATAGTTAACACCACCTTACAAATTAAAAAAAAAATGCCAGAAACATCTTCAAATGCCTTGTCACACCAACAGCAAAGTGCACAGAGTGAGGAGAACACGAGAGTGCCTTTTCATTTTAAAAATGTTTGGAAATATGTACAACTTTGATACAGTTTTAGGGTGCTCTGGACACCCAGGGCCACTTCATGTAAACCACTGACAATTTCTAGAGCATTTTGAGAGACTACAATATGATCGTGATCAAATTCTGAAATTAAACCTAATGAGAGTAACAGACACATCTCAAATAAGATGTGTCAATCATGGCGCTCCCCTACTCTAAGGTATTCACAAGACGGATAAACAGTTTTTTTATTCATCCTCCTCCTCCTCCTCCTCCTCTTCTTCTTCCTCCTCTTCTTCGTCTTCCTCTTCCACTTTTTTCCGGGCAACTTTAGCAGGACCCTTTGTGCCATCAAACTTTCCTTTAGACTTATAGTCAGCAACATCCTGGAAGGAACAGGGACACATTCTGAATGAGTGTCCGAGATCTCAAGCAAAATGTAGAAGCATGCAGCCCTCGCCTCAGGTAAGAAATCAGGAATTGCAAAGACAGGAGACAGGGCTACTATTATATTCTAAGTATTTGTTTCCATATACACAATTGTTTCTTGGCCATTCAAATTCTAAAGTTAAAGGACACACAAGTATCTTTTAAGTCATATCAACAGCCCTATCAATATTCATTATCAATTTTTTTGTAGCACTGGGGATGAAGTCAAGGATCTTGCACTGATAGGCAAGCAATGTACTGCTGAGCTACATGCATCCCCAGCACTGCACTTAAAAACTGGGGCTGAAGATACAGCTCAGTGGTAGACAGCATGATATGAAGCCCTAGATTTGATCCTCAGCACTGCAAAAATTATGCCTAAGACAAAAATCTGCCGTTAAGTATCAACACCAACACACAGGGCTGATCTTGGGAGATGGGCTGCTGCATGCTGTGCCAAGTACTTGGCCCAGCAAAGCAGCCACATACCCCACAACCCACCAATACTATGGCAGATTCTAGTCCACCTTACCTTCTCGTATTTCTCCTTCAGCTTTGCAGCCTTAGTGATGTATGGCTGCTTTTCACTGTCACTTAAGTTATTCCACATCTCACCCAGCTTTTTTGCCACATCTCCAATGGAGATACCAGGATTTGTGGACTTGATCTTGGGGCGGAATTCTGAACAGAACAAGAAGAATCCAGACCTTGGAGGAGAGAGAGATATAACTTAGAGAAAGCACAAAATCATGAGCTTAGACTTAATTCCCATGTTCCTGAGCTCACATACCTCTCAGCACAAGTTCTCCCTGTCATACTACATTCAATGCTATAGAGCTATAGACTCTAGACTGGTTAAGATGTTTCCAAAATGTATGGTTCTTTATTACCGTTACTGGCTAAAGGGTAAAGAACATATTTAAGACACTGGCTCCCAGAACTAGGGTGCATCCTTCTCAGTGGAAGGGCCAACAGGCAACTGGTGCACATGCACTTATACATGATACACACACAGAGAGCCAATAAACACATCAGCCCTAACTATGGACAATACTGGTATTGCATTTTAAAGCTGAAAAGTTTAGAATGTTTTGCAGAGGCGTCTCATTTCTTAACTAAAATATCTTTTTAAAAAAAATATTCAAAGCAGAAAGAAAGCTCTTGTTATTTCAAGTGTATAGCCACTTACGGTGGTCTTTTGGGGGCATTAGGGTCCTTTTTCTTCTTGCCTCCCTTAGCTGGTCCATAGTCCTTCATTTCCCGATCATAGCGTACTTTATCTGCCTTTGCCATTTCATCAAATTTAGATTTCTCTTTCCCAGACATTGTCTGCAAAGAACAGGACCTGTTAAATTCCTTAATGCAGTGAGCACATACTTGCCCAACTGTTCTGTAATTAAATAAAGTGACATCTAAAGAACCACTTGCAAAAGACGAACAAAGAATTTAAACCATTACAGAGCCTTAACAAAGGTACACACGCAAAATTAAAAAGACAAGCAAGATAATGTCTAAGTTAGAAATAAAAGAGCCATACGATGTGACTTTCTAGGAATGTAACCCCAAAATATGAAGTACAACTAAGCCTACTATGAAGTTGCAAAAGAAAAATACCTTCCACCTCTCAGAGCACTTCTTGGAAAATTCTGCAAAATTGACAGGGACTTCTGGATTTTTCTTCTTATGTTCTTCTCTGCAAGTCTGCACAAAGAAAGCATAAGCAGACATCTTGCCCTTTGGTTTCTTGGGGTCACCTTTAGCCATCCTGACTGTGATAGATGGAAAGAAGAAGAACAAACAAGGAATGACAACGAGAAACAAAACTACAAGAAATACCAAAGGAAGAGCAAAATTAAGTTAGTTCTTAGAAAGCCCCCTTCACCCAACACCTGACATCTCTGGCAAGAAGGCAGAGTAGGAAGGAAAGCAGCTTCACTGTCGCTTGTCATTTAACTTTTGACCAGCATGAAGCGCGCTGGTTTGCGAGTTACTTCTCCAGAGCAATCAAGTTCTCCAAATGGAGCTAACGTAAGTGGGGTGCTCAGTGCTACATTACTGAAGCACTACGTTTTATAAACTACAACACAAAGTGGGAAGAGCACAGAGAGGAAACATTTGTAGGGAGTATATAACATAAGCTTGAAGAAAATGATTTAAAGCTGGCTGGCTATACGTTTACAAAATATTGTCATCTCGCTACTGAACAACATCAAAGGGGAAAAAAAAACTAAATAGGGAACATTTGAAATGTCACTACCGGACAAGGCATTTGGCTTATGAAAATGGCTTTTAAAACACTGGTAATCTGGAAAGTGAGCAGGTATCCCTTGTACTAGTAGTTCAAATCCTTCAGTATCTAAAGGGGTAGGAGATATGGAAAAGGCTAGTCTTGTCCATGTGTAACGCAGAATGCAGGTCCAGCCAGGAATACTTTCTCTAAAGTTTCCAAATAAAAATGCAGCTGTGGCGTGTCATCTTCCCTGTCCCACCCCCCAGCTTCCCGCCATCTTTTCCTTTTCCCACACCCAAGGTCATCATGTAAAAATAAAGCACTCCCCTTGGCATCGACCGCCCCCGGGGCTGCATTAGAGCCCCGCAGTGGCAACGCTGGTGGGGCGGGACCCGGAGCGGGGGAGCCCCATCCTGCAGCCTGACTCGCCCCGGTGCCCGGTCCCCCGGACACCCATAATTCACCTTCCATTTTGTCAAAAGCCTCCTGATGAAAGAAAGTGCCCCTCAAATCCTATGCTGCCACCCTCGGGGGGCGCGTGGAACCCGGGGCCGCGGCGGCAGGCGTCCGCGGGGGGTGTGGGGCCGGGCCGGCAGCAGCCGCGGCAGTGGCTGTGGCGCCCGCCGCGCCTCCTTAGCCCAGCTCGCTAAAATGGCTGATCCGCGCGCGGCCGGCGCAGGCGGCGACGGCGGCGGCGGCGAACAAAGCGGCCCGGGCCCCGCCACCGCCGCCGCCACCCGCTGGCAGGCCCCCACCCCGCCCCGCCCCGCCGGGGTCGCCCGGGGCGCAAGGGCCACTGGCCGGACCTCCCCGCCCCCCGGCGAGGGGCGCACTCCTCGGGATAACAAAGGCGCCCGTGCAGCCATGACGCTCGGCCGCGCCGGGGCCCGCGGCAGCGCCCCCAGCCCTTCACGCCTCCCGCCCGGGGCCGCGGGCACCCTGGCGGAGGCCAGAACCCGCCACGAGCTCCCGCCGCTCATTCCGCCCGCCTCTCCGCCTCTCACTGGAGTCCCGCACCGCGCCAGCCATGTTAACCCCAGCGGCGGCGCCCGGTGAGCTGGAGTCGAGCGGGGGGCAGCCGGCTCGAGCCCCCCCCTCCCCCGGGCCGCCTGGCGCTCCGCGACGGCCATGTTAATGCAGAGCCCGCAGCGCAGCCCGCGGGCCCGCAGGGCGCCCGGCCAAGCCCTGGAGCGAAGTTTGCCGGCGCCGCAGCCCTCGGTGGGCACCGGCTGCCCGCTCCCAGCTGAGTCCCTCTCGGGCCGGGGTGTACCGGGTCCCCTTCACGCTGCCGCCGCCCGCCTGGCGCCGGGACGCGCGCCGCCAGTGCCCGCAACCCGCAGCCGCCCCTCAGCTCGCCCCGCCGCGCCACCGCAGCTGCAGAACATCTGGCCTGGGAGCCCTGGCCCCTCGGCCGCCCCTGGGGGCGACTGCTGAGCTTGGTTCCGCCGAGGTTGCCAAGCCCCAAAAGCGGGGAGCTAGGGCAAAAGCATTTGAAAAGTTGAAACACCTGAATCGCGTCTTCCTTCCCGGCCACCTAGCAAGAGAGAAGGCGAAGGGGCGGGAAGGGCGCAGAAGGAGAGGCAGGGGAAAGCGGTGGCAGGCGCGCTCGCGGTGGCGCGGGCCGGAAAGTTGTGCGGGAGCTGCTGCTGCGGCGGCGGCGGCGGCAGCGGTGGCGGTGGCGGTGGCGGGCGCGGGCAGTGCGAAACGTACCTGTATTGTTCGCTAGTCTGGGCAGCGCAGGGCACGACGCGCGGCTCAGCGCTCCCCAGCCTCGCGCTAGCTGCCTCCACGAGAGCCGCCTGATTGGCCAGCGGGCTCCGCCGTTTAAAACAGCCTCCTCGCCTGGCCATTGGCTGCTGGCCTCATGCATATTAAGTAGGCGCCCGCGCCCATTGGGCGCGGCCTCTGGGATCATTCATTCAAACAGAACAACCCGCCGGCGCCGGCTGCGGAGGCAAAACAGAATAATAATAATATCCTCTCTTGCCCATCCCTCCCGCACCGTCCTCTCTGAACTGAGCTGCGATCTCGAAGGACTTTGCAGAGATGGCCCCTGGATTCCCAGAGGCCTCGGCCTCTGGCGTGGGAAGGCGAGGTCGAGCCCAGCTGCCTTGCCCTCTGCTCCCGCCGCGCCGCGGCCGGGAGCCCCGTCCTGGCCCCTGGCCCCTTGCCCTTAGTCCGCTCCACTGCCTGGGGAAACCTCCCTGGGCCAACCTACTAGGACCGACGGTCCTCCACCTCTACCCAGTTCCGCGGCAACACAGCGGCAGGGGCCTGGGTATAGTTCCCTCCTCCATGCCCAGCTGAGAGCCGCTGCATCCTCTTAGAGATTAGGATGTTTCGGCCCTTGGATCCCGCTGCCCACTCGAAAGGAATCTGACTCCGCCCTTGCAGATCCTGTTCCACTAGGCTTTTCGCACTAATTGCCACAAAGTCTGTATTTGCGCCTGCAATTTTGGAAACGGCGGACTGGAACACCAAAACGGAGTTTGATAAGAGCAGAAAAATTTTAAGAAATTGTAGTTTCGTGAGCAGGGAGTTAAGAGTGAAACTGGCCCCTCTTCACGGCCTCTTTTCAGACAGGCTTTATCTCCTCTTTGGACACACCCCCTAGTGAAGAATCAAAATGCTAAGAATGAAAGAATGAATAAGATTTGACTTGGTCTTCACTTTGCCACAACCTGATGTATAGCCTTTAGCAAGGCACTCTTGGGGGGAATCAGTCAATGGTTTTCAAAGTGTGAGATGACTAATGTTACTTCTCTAATGGATGTTTGGAAATTTGTGTAGATTTTTGGTTACCAAGAAGACTGTCTCACAGCAGCTCAGGAGGCTGAAACAGGAGGATCAGAACTTCAAAGCCAGCCTCAGCAACTAGGAGGCCCTAAGCAACTCAGTGAGATCCTGACTCTAAATAAAATACAAAATAGGGCTGGGGATGTGACTCAGTGACTGAGTGATCCTGAGTTCAATCCCCAGTAAAAACCCCCAAAAAAGAAGACTGGCAAGTGTTGCTGGAATTCAATAAGAAAAAGATATTTTCAGGATGTTAAATGTACTACACTGAGCAGGGCCATCACTAAGTGTTTCACTCCAAATACCAATATCAACCCTGTTTGAAAAACACCTAAGAGCTCTTGTCTCTTTGAGGTAGCACAAACTTCCTAGAAAGGATGAAAGAGGAAGGGTGAGAAAAATTAAAACATTTTAAGGATTGAAATTTGGAGAAAACAATACAAAGGAGGAAACATGAGTTCATCTCCCCCATGTGACGTTCCCTTTCCAAAGGCCAAGAGATCCAGCTATTTTTGATTCACATAATTGGAAAGGAGACTCACTATAAGATTAGTTTTTCAGATGTTTTCCAAAGAATGTGACTGAGTTTGAAGTGTGCAAAGGAGCTAGCTTCACACAGTACCTGTATCCCCAGCCCTTGCCAAGACATCCTCTGAGCCCTTAAAGCTGGAACACCTAAGCATCCAATCCAGACCAAAAGACAACAATAGTGCAGCTTTTGACAAGAGCTGACAGGTATCAAGCCACTATCCCAAATCTCCAATCTACAGACTATCAGGAGTTCAGATCTTAGGGCACCTCATCTGACTCTCAGCCCCATTAAAACTCACTGAATGGTTGCTTACCTTCTTGACTACCTCCAATTATAGAGAGCTTACCACCTCCCTTCTTGGATGTCCCTTCCATCTCTAACCATCTCTGAACCTTGGAGATCGCCATCCTACACATAATCCAATCCCTCACCCTTCAGAGAGTCATGGCAGGCTAGGACTTTTCTCCAGGCAGACAGTTCCAGCTTCTATAGCCAAATTCTCAGTACCCAACCTGCCCAGGCTACAGCTGTCTTCTTTTCCTGCGCCCCCCATCTCTGCCTAGTCCAGAGAACAGTCTCCCCATTGATCTGACCTCCCTTCTGCCAGAGCACATTGACCTCTCAAGGTTGTTGAGCCTTCCTAGGCCAGATATTTGGGCTGAAGTCTTAGCACAGGGTCTCCCGGTGGGCCAGCTGTTGCCCTGCATCCTAGCCATACTAGGTAGCTAGCAACATTTAGCATTAGCAGAGACAGCAGCTTGAAGGCAAACCAGAAAGATAAGAGCATCTCCAAATTACCCAGATCCCTGCTTCCCCACTCCCCACCCCCCACCCTCCACCCCCTCCACAGCCCCACCCAGTCTCCTCTTTCTGTACACATACTTCTAAAGTGAAAAGGGTTGCTCCTACTCTTCGAGGGAGGTGTTTCCATCTCTGCTCTAGAGAAAGCTCCTCCTTATAGGAGTAGCTGAAGCACTTGGTCTGAAGCTTCCAACTGTGGTTGCAATGATCAGAACCTTAGGTGACTATGACTTAGCTTAGAGTGTTAGAGATCTGAAGGTGCCATGGTTCCCTGCTTCTACCCCCGCCCTAACAAACACATGTCTTCTTCATTTCCAACCTTGCCCTTTTCTCCAACTCTTCCCTGAGTCCCCATTTGGAGACCTTAACAGCTCGATTTACTTCTATGTGGCCTATGTGATTCCTACCTCACCAAATCTCTCATAATTTAATTCCATGTACATGTATTGAATGTCTTTTAATGAATAACAGAAAGGAGATGGTATGGAAGGGTAGGGCTGGAAGGGACAAGGCTGTGACCACTTGGGCTGTGTTGATGACTTCCTGGTATACTCTTTGACATGTTACCTCACCCCTTCCAGCCTCAGCATCCTTTGTCAAACCAATTCAACCTATCTTCTCCACTTAGAGCATTTCTCAGTCTTATGGTAAGGGAGGCTGTGAGTGAGGGTGGTCTGGTTGTCACTAGTCTAAAGCTGCCCAGGGCAGGGCTAACAATCAGTCTGGAAGACAAGAAAGTAACATAAAGTGAGAGGTGTCTGGGTCCAGTCTGGGCTTAGGGACCCCAAAGCGGGTCGCCACCTCTGTGCAGCAGAGAAGTCAATTAGTATGTACTGTCTTGGGGGTAACTTACACAGGAGCCCAGACCAGTTAAGCAACTGATGGGGTGAAGGAGGGTGCTTTAGGCCTCTGCCCTGGCCTCTGGAGAAAGCTCTTTAACCCTGTCACTCAACTCTGAGGCCCAGTACCAAGCAAAGCCTATCCACAAAGGAGAACCTCAAACCAGAATCCCTTAAGCTGCTCAGCTGCCTAGAGAAGTTATTAAAACATTGAAAGTAAATAAGAAATAGGACAAAGTGTGGCAAATGTTATTTAAAGAGGTTTTCAGTTCCTGTCAGTTGAAGGCCCCCAAAAGATTAAGAGAAATTCTTATCATTCAACAAAGATGAATCCCTGATCCCCTGGTGCAACCTTCTCCCGCCTCTATGCACAGGCTTCTAAGTCCTCACTTGGGAACCCAGCACTTAAAGGAGACTTTCAGAAACCAAGCCAGGCCAACTCCTGTTTAATAATCAATGTAGGGCTGAGTATGTGGCTCAGCCTGGCATGCTCAATGCCCTAGATTCAATCCCAGCAACATATACATTCACACACACACACACACACACACACACACACACACACACCAACAATCAGTGGAAGTGTAGTGGGTGGGGCAGGGGTATATTGGTATGGGATTGTTGAATCATTTAAAATAGCACCCTTGAGGGGCTAGGGCTGTAGCTCAGCAGTAGAGTGCTTGCCTAGCATGTGTGAGGCACTGGTTCGATCCTGAGCATCACATAAAAATAAACAAAATAAAGGCATTCTGTCCATCTACAACTACAATAAATAAATAAATAGCACCCTTGAGAAGAGGTTTCCAGTTTCCAACAATGGCCCTAGATAGGTCCACAGGAAACCTGGTGGATGGGGCAGGCCTGCACCTCCTTTCCCACCACACCCCACTGTACAGATTCCTCAGGCATCCTGAGACTCCATGGCCTAGAGCCTTGATTGAGCCTTGATTCCTGATCAAGACTTGAGCCCTGGGGTCTGAATATGATGCTGGTCTGCACAGAGGTGGCTGGGCCCTCACATTTGGAGGCAGCTGGGGGCAGCTCCTTCCCACAGCATTGATCTTGCCCTAGGATAGGATGAACTACCTCTCTCAGTACCTATTCAAAAAGGAGTTTGGAAGCCAGGGTCATTTAGCCTGACACAGGCCTACCTACAAGTACCACACAAGGGCTCTTCTTAGGTTGCTTTTAGGCAGACTGAAAAGCAGGAAGTGGGTGAACTCAGGAAGGATTGCCTGCATTTTACCATTCACACCCAGGTAGGTAGGAATAAAATCCTAATCTACAAAAGCTCCAGGGCCAATGAAACTGGACAGACCAGACCTTCAGGGAAGTTGGGGGTGGGGTGTGGAAGAGAAGTGCCCTTGACCCTGCCAGATACTGTGTCCTGGGAGAGTTCAAGGACCCTCCCTTGGGGAAAGAGAAGGAAGAGCCCTGCTCTGAAAAACCTTGCCATCTTCACCATGTTGCTGGGTAACCAACCCAGTGGAGACTACCTAACCCTCAACCCCCATCCCATCCAGAGAATGCACATTTACAGTAGGTCTGCCACCTTGCGCTGAGTTTTGGAGTGGTGGCCCTTCTGTGTCCAGGGCTCTGACTCACTGAGCAGCTAATGAGCCAGCATCTCCCTCTTAGGGAACAGGTACAAGCTGTCTGTCTTTACCTGAACCAAAGGGATTCCTGCAGTGTGGGTGGGGGGCTGAGGACAGGCCAGTCTCTATGTGGGTTTGGAGCAGCTCTTTAAAAAGTGCTCCTGGGCCGTGGTGCATTAGCGTATACCTGTAATTCCAGCAACTAGGGAGGCTGAGACAAGAGATCTTGAGTT